TGAGTAGTGGGAAGAAAAGAATACCGAATGTACCGGAATTTTCTACCATTTTTGCAATTCTTTGATCAATAGAACGACATGCCCCTGTCTGTACTCTCTCGCACACCATAGGTTACGGTAATGCAGAGAAAGGGGGGGAAAGCAATTTCCGGGAGTATGATTCACCATCTGACGTTGCATATATGGAAGGAAAGTTGTTTATTTAGTTCCGGCTTTGGTACGGGAAAAAAATACATGTTCATTAAAAAAAAAAAAAAAAAAAAAAGCACTAAGCAAAAAATAAAAAAATACGAGCTTTAAAGAAAAAGTAAGCACCTATAAGGGCCTTATAATATATTTTATTTTCAAATATAAGGACTTATAAGCACTTGTAAGGACCGCTACGAACCCTGTAACTATATCCAAAAATGCATCACGAGTGGCTTTCACTGTCAAGCATCTCATTGGTATTGCTTCTGGCCATCGGGAATGTTGATCTACCAGGTACAACATGTATTTATGTTTTCTAGCAGAAGGAGGTTCAATAGATCCAATAACATTGATATTCACCACTTCAAAAGGTAATTCTGGTCTTCTAACACGTGTGATGGGAATCTTGTCCAATCTCTTTTCTGGACTCTTCAACTGACAATTTTTGCCTGTTTTACAAAAGATTTTGACATCCTGTACAATTTTTCCAGTTGGTTCCAACACTTGTCTTGGAATTGGGAACACAATTGGGAAAACAGTCTGTCCCAGTATTTTTTCTTGGTGATGTAAAAGATGATCAATAAATAAATATTTGTCCTTCTTTTCTATAGCTAACTTCCATGCCTCTCTCAGCAAAGGACAGGTTGACTGCTCCTGGCACATGTTTTCGGCAGGCAAAAAGTCTATACTTACGTGAGTGCTTGATTTTTCCCCTTTGGTTTTCTCCTCCAAAAGCGTCAGAATTATTTCTTTCTGAAATGACCATGTTTGATTCTTCTTCTCCAGGAGGATTAATCAACAGTTCGCCTATATCTTATTAGTCAGTTAGTTAATCTAGTTATTAAACAAGGCACATTCAGCTTATTGGTCACTGCAATTAATGTATCCACAAAATTAAATAAATCACTTCCATGATTCTTATAAATAGGTTCATGGCAATCACTCTTTTGCTTCAATCAATTGTCCGAAAGCAGGGGTTAGCATGATTTTACTCCCTTCTGTGTCTTCTAAATCTAGAATGAGCGATGAATGTATGATCGTTATCTGCATTCAAGTCCATGATAGTTTCTATTTTCTCAGAGATTATTTTTATAAACTTCTTTGTAATAGTTGTAGAATACGTTCTTCAAATTCAGGTCATAGATGGGATGAGTGTACTTTAACTACTATGGCTACTTTTGATGGCTTATTTGAATTTCTAGGAGTTTTGGGATTATATTTTCCTTTCTTTTCTGCAGTTTCATTCTTATTCTTTTGTCTGGGCAATCTCTTGCGATGTAACAATATAACATTCCTTCTTTCTTGCAGAAGATCTTTCTTGTTTTGAATATTCTCTTTTCATGTGGGGGAATATATTTATTTTGTGCACATGTTGTATCAGGAATCATGGAGATCGTTTAATTTCATTTTGTACTTCTACAAAGATTTTCTTTTCGCTGTGAAATAGATATCACATTCTTTAGCTAATTCTTGTGGCTTCAACCATTTATTTCCTTGGTGTATTGCAACGCGTGCTGCAGTTTTTTCATCTAGAGCTTGAAAAATTTAACCAGAATAATTAACACATTTTCAAATGGGTTCAGACAGGGTGACGCACTGGCCTGCTTGCTTTTTAACCTTGCCCTTCAAAAAATCATAAAAAGACTCCAACATTAATACTCTTGAAACAATCTTTAACAAGTCTGTTCAGATTTTTGCATTTGCTGATAATATTGACATAGACGCACACACTCCTAAGTAACTTAGAGAGGCTTTTACATCTCTAGAGGTTGCAGCCAGCAAAATACATCTCGTTATCAACCAAAATAAAACTAAGTTACATGCCATGTGGTAATCAGCCCCTATTTTGAAATTGGGAATTGCAGATATGAAACTGTAAGCAAATTCAAATATTTAGGATCAGAAGTTAATATTCTCAATGATTTAATGTCCGAGATCCGTAGTATAGTCACAGATGCTAACCAATGTTTTTTCAGTCTAAAAAAATACTTGAAGTCTAATTTCCCTAGCAGAAAAATGCAGATTTTAATATACAAAAGTACAAAAGCTTAATTAGACCCATTCTTACATATTCTGCTAAGACCTGGGCAAAGACAGAAAAAGCTAAAAGTATCATTTCTGTCTTGGAAAGAAAAATTTTGAGAATTATTTTTGGTGGCATAAAATGTAGCAATATCTGGAGAATAAGAACTAACTCTGAACTCGATAAACCTTTTAAAGAACTAGATATAGTATAATATATAAGTATTCAGAGAATTAAATGGGCAGGACACCTGTGCAGAATGGAAGAAATCATGTAACTAGAAAGATCTTGGCCAGACCATTTGGCACCTGAAAAAGAGGGAGACCTAAATTTAGATGGCTCGACTCTTTGGAAACAGACTTAAGAATTTAAAAAATAACTAACTGGATGTCCAAGGCCAAGGATAGAAAAGTTTGGAATTCGATTCTGAGGAAGGCAAGGGCCCATCCTAGACTGTCTGGCAATCGAAGAAGAAGAATTAACACCGAGTGTTTCAAAATCTTTTGCTTCTCTTGATTTACAGTAATAGAACCATGTAGCTACTAGTTGTGAAGCAAACTAGATATGCGTTTCGCTGGAATAACGTTCAGTTCTTTAAAAATATTCTAAGCAGGCTTGATGAGTAGGCTGATATTCCTTCAGAATAAGAGTTTCCACTTTTTCGTAATTTCGTAGATCTTCATCCTTTATATAAACGAGGAAATTTGAAACTTTTTCTCCAGTTAGTTTCAATAACATTTCCGATTTGAATTCTTCTGGAAATTTCTTGTATTTAAACGCTTTTTCAACAGAATCAAAAAATATATTCCATGCTTCTGCTCTTTTCGGTACTGGTATAGTAGGTGTTTCTACTCCTTTGATCAGCTTGTCGAGGGAAATTTGTTTCTCATCCTGTGTTTTGGATTGAAGGTGTCAGACTTCTACTTCCTTCATTTTGAGTTGCTCGAATCTTCATTAGTTCTATTTCATGTTCTCTTTCTAGTCTCAATATCTCTTCTTCCATTTGTATTCTTTCGATTTCTTCTTTTCTTCTTCTGTTCTCCACCGTAGTAATCAGGATTTCTTTCACAAAATCATCACCTGCGATGTATTCTCTGCTATTCTGGAGTTTGTGTTTCAGTTCAGCCAGCTTCAAATCTGTGCTTGATTCTTTGCCAATTTCCAATAGAACAGTTACCCTTCTTTCTTCATGTTTTTGAACATTTAGTTTTTTAAAAAACTTTTTTAACTTCAGAATTAAACAATTCTTACGCTTTTATTCCCATTTGGAAATGCGAACTTTTTCCATATGTTAGATGTAAAGTTAGGTCACTTTTGTTTTCAATGCTCTGAGCTCTTGTTCTCATTATGCAGAGTGTGTTGTAATGCCTTCATGGTTAAGAAGGCACCATTTGACAAGACGAAACAAAACATTTATTAATATAACATTAAGGCATATAATTTTACTTGGAGCAGTGCACTGCTCCTATAACATACAATAATTGAGCACTTCAGTCCTCCCCGGCTAACATTCAACTCCTCTAAATTTAGCAATCTTTTTGGAAGAAGAGGCGAAATGCGAAAAGTGCGCTTTGTTGATCGCCAAACAGCCACCAGATACTACAAATATATATATTATACAATACATCAGACACTTACTCTTGTAAAAACAAAACAATTTAAAAAAATATTTTGAGTTTTAGCTTGCATTTTACAGGACACAAATATGACTCTCAGCCTATTCAGATGCCACTGAAAAGTCTGCTTACACCTGACTGTAAATTCAGAAATTAGATATTTTATCTGATCTTCAGATTCCAGAAACATATTTATTTAAAATTTGTGCTAAAATGGAGAAACTTCTATAATAAAAAATTTTTAACTACAGTACATTTTCTAGGTTGAAATATGTTATACTTTATGTGATCATGCCTCCCATTTTTTTGTTGATATCTTAGAGTAACGGGAAGCTTACTTTTAAATAATTCAGTTTTACATTATTCAGCAACAGTCATTTAATTTCATTAAATATTTTCAATAACTAAAATTTCAGCTTAGAATTACAAATTATGCATTCTTTTACTCATTCATATATATGTTTCTTTGAATTCATCTAGTTCCACTTTTAAGCATTTTGAAACCTGCGACACATATTGAAACATTTTGTACAGTAAATTCTAAATTAGCCAGGATAATACCAAAAGTTTAAAAAAAAAAAAAGAGAGAGAGAGAAAAGAGGAATAACTGATGCTATTAACATAAAAAACACTATTTGTGGGTAAAAACAACCACAAATTCCTATGATATGATTGCTATTACCTAATATTATCCTTTTCCATGGGCAATTTTGTTTTATGATCATTTTTCTAATCTTATGCAATAAACAAGCTTTATTTTTTTCAATAGAGTCTGGTTAATCTTTGCAATCCGATTTATCTAGAGCTGATTGTATTTATCAAGGGTTTTAAATCAAATTCCTTCAGTTTCCTCAACCTTGATATTGCTGACTGCATTGCTGATTAATATGGTAAAAGCTCAGTAACAGTAAGTTTTTATACAGTCAGTAAAAGTTTTTATAGAGCAAATTCCAGAATATATAATTTTTTGGCTTAGTAAAGATACAATAGAAACTTAACTATCCAGCATTCAACTAATCAGAAAGCTTTTGTAATTAGAATGCTTTAGAATTACAGAATTAATGGGGCAGATCAACAGTATGAAGTACATCTACAGGATTATATATAAAGAATTTAATTAATGTCCTATAAGATAGGATGAATAACAAACAAGAAAGGCATAAAATACTCACATAATTCAAGCTAGATTACAAATTTCAAGAATATCTTCAACAATTTGATCCTTCATTTTAGCAGTTAAATCAGGACAAAATAACTACAAGAAGGAAAAATATCCATTAAGATCTGTATCTGAAATTTAAATGATTTTTTAATACAGATAACATTTATAACAGCAAATATATTTAAATAGTCGCAAAACTTATAAAATTTCTATGCTAATTTCCAGCACATACAACTCAAAGAAAAGCACATCTTTTGTCCATTGATATTAGCTGATAAAGAAAAATAATTTATTTTGAAAATTAACAGACTTTTTAAATTTTTATCAGAATGGACCAGGAGCTGTGTAAATCGGAGAATTTGGTAGATTTCAGGTATGTCGTCACTGTTGCTTAAATTTTCTCCTTTATAATTTTTACACTAAATGCGGACTATTTGTGCACATAAAGCAAACCAAAACATACTCCTTAAACTGGCAGCAGAACGAATATACTGAAAAAGACTATTTTCTTTAAAGCCAGATATGGTACAACTGACTCCTGTCTTTTATTGCTTTAGGTGATAAAGTGATCTGTGTGCAATCCACGGTTATCATTCATGGTAGCTTCTGGCTGGAGAGTGTTCCTGATTCCTAACAGTTTATCTCTATTTTGATAAGATCTAACGATTTGCTATTGGGCCAATATGATGGGAAATCAAGTAGAGATACTTCATTACTAAAACATTAGAACTCTGTAGCCTTTTCATGTGAATACTTTTTTTTACATCTGCTATGTTTTTATTCCTATCAAAAATCTCAAACAGTCTGAAATGCACCTGCAATACAAACAATACAGATAATAACATAAAACTAATATAAATTTCCTTTTCATCACACTTTAAAAAATATCAAAGTATGAAATTTTGTAAATAACTAGTTAATCTAAAAATTTAGATTATCCTGAATGATTGATTTTATTTTATACTTTACATTACATATGTAAATTATATTGGAAAACAAATAGTTTGGAAGTTTTCTTCCATAGTAAAATATATACAGATCAGTTTTTCTGAAAATTCTTTCTATAAAAGTAAACATTTTTTTCGGCCCATAGCCAACAACTTTGTTAAAATTAAATAACAGTATGCAAGCATTTTCCCCAACTTTTACATTATAAATAAAAATCAATTTTAAATCTTTGCTATTGTTATTACTATTTTAACATGTAACAATTACATTACCATAAATCATATTCGAATATGCAGAGCTACAAACTATGCTCATATCCTTTATGTTTCGTAAAGCCCATTTTTCAGTTTTTAACCAGTTGCGCTACGACTAAACTTCACGGTTGCGGTGCCATGCACTACAATATAACAAGCGGTAAAGTTTCTCATTTACGCCGCTCCATGTCTGCGAGTGCAATCCAGAGCTGTAACTCCAGAAATAAACAATCTCGTTGTTAGGCGACGTGTGCACCACATTATTTTCATTTTTGCGATAAATGCCTATCGACGTGGTGTTCACGCCTCTCACGGTGTTCCACGTGGTGTTCACATCGCTCACGGTTTAAGACAAAAGCATCTCGATGTGTGTGGCACGTCTTTTTAGTGCAAGTGGTTAATGTCCTTATGAGCATGAAAGCTGAGTCAAAAAATAAAAATGCATTTGTGTTGCTAAATGATTACTGAGACTGATCGAAGATAGTTATTCTTATGTAAAAATCTATAAAAACTGTTCTTCAAACAAATATTACATTACAAAATTAAAACAAGTTGAAATATATAATGGCTTATATTTTAATTCAAGAAAAGAAATAATTGCAGCAGTATTAACACTTTATATTGGATATTCTTGTCAATATACATATATCGAGGGAGAGATAACACAAATCTCTTTGTTTATACGTATATGCGCTCTCTATATATGTGTATATAGATTAAATATTCCAGGCTTATACATTAAATATCTCAGGCTTGCTTGGAATTATTCTTTCTACATATAAAATATGTGAATATTTTCATTGACTATTTGTTCCACTTTGAATAAATATTGCATGATGATCAAATTCATATAAATATTCATATGTTTTGTTTTTCCCCTTTTTTGTGTTTGTTACTTCAAGGTTGGTTCTACCTATCTTTTACTATCAACTTTTCTTTGAAAATATTATATTTTCTAGTAGCATAAACTTATTTAATTATTATTTGCACTCTTTTATGCATGCATATATATGAACTGCATTTACTCAAAAATATGACCTTTATATTTTGAGATAAATTTTAATAAAATAAAAATGCAAGTGAATATTTGATGAAAGCGAGGTTCTGATCAGAACAAAAGACAAGCTAAAGTATTAAATAAAATATTTTATTATGGTATATAAAGAAAAATTAATGATAGTTTAATGCATATTTGCTTTCATACATACCAATAACCAATATAGCAACCACCAGTGTCTGAACAGTAAAGGTCTCTGAACACTGGTTTTTCAACATGGTTCAAATTGCAGCGAATGGGCAGTCTGCAAGGGAGCTTTTGTAGTGTCCCTCATATGCGAGTCCTGTTTTTAAAGTAATAACCATTTAAAAATTCCGGTACAGCAGCAGTGCAGTTGGCATTCTGCGCGGGCATACTATTTACCTACACTTGTTAGCAAGGCACAGGCATCATTACAGAAACTTTCAGATGTGTTAGTGTTTTTAAGTATTTAATATGGCTCCGCCAACTGAGAATCCTTCTGACTGTGCAGTACGTTTAGTGATTTATTTTCTTAGTGATAAAGACATGAAAGTGGCTAACATTCCTCAGGTTTCACATAGTATTTCATATGAAACTGTGAGAGAATGCTTAAACTATAAAAAAGTGCATGCTGAGTACCAAAAATGTTGACAGAGGTACACAAAAACAAATGTTTAACCCATTAGTCGCTGGTGTTGCATTGACGCAACGGTCAAAATAAATGCGTATATAAATATAACTAACTAAGATATTTTATACCAGCAGATGATTTTGTGTAGGGAATATTATGAAGATTATTTCTGTAAAAAAATATTTGCCATCAACAATCATTTTGTTTATAATAATTAATCTCACACTTTAAGCAAAATTTTCGACCGGGTATTTTTGCTGAAAATATTTAATGAAAGAATCGCCGTCTTTATGAGTGATCTATTTTTAGTCAAGGCCACCGTTTATCAGAGCATTACATCAGTCAGATGTTTATATTTGTGTTGGGAAGGAAGGGAAAACAAGTGTTCGGTTAGTCAATCTCCTTTTTCACTCATTCCTTTCGATGTTCTGGTTCATGTTCTGGTTGTTTAAAAATGTCTAGAACAAGGTATCTTACATTATAAGAAGCCCTTCAAAGATTTTTTGATGACGAAACAGATGATGATGATGTTAATAATGACCAGAATGAAACTGATATTGTTGTTGTTCTCCCAGAAATTGCAGAGGCTAGTGACGAAGAAGAAAGTTATGGCAATGTTTTAAATAATGATAATGATATTTTACCAAATGATACTGCTGGGGAGATTGAAATTGACGTAAGAAGTAAGTTTCAGCCTTCTAAAAGCAGTTATAGTCATACTAAAAAGTTTAAAAAGCAGAAGACTGAAATCTTGAAGTGGATAAAAAAGGAACTATTAGTTATGTCTTAGGAAGAGTATGAAGAAAGTGATAGAAGAGAAATTATAAAAGATAAAACACAAGGTAAAACTAGTGCACAGATTTTCGGTTTTCTTTTTGGTTTAGACATTTACTCTCTTCTTGTTGAACAGACAAATATATACGCTCAGGGGGGGAAGGGGAAAGAAAAAAAAAGGCTCAGAATTTATTGCATCTGAAGCCTATATAAGAAGATTTATTGGAATACTATTGCTTACAGGATATCATTCTTTACCTCAAGAAAAAATGTATTGGTCTTTTGATAAGGGCATTTCTCTTCCTGTTGTACGAGCATTGATATCACGTTTGCAGTATAAGAATATGAAGCACAATTTGCATTTGACAATACTCAAATTGAAAATACTGATAAATTATATGAGGTGAGACCATATCTAAACTTACTAAATATCACCACTTTTTACTACTGGAAATATAAAGTCTCTTTTAGATTTCATACGTGAGAATGCATTATTCCTTTTTCAACCTCCTATAGAGAGTGTAGAATTAGCCAGAAATAGATCAGCAACAGGAAGACCTAGTAAATTCAGCATTCAAAAACCATTGCATAAAGATGGTAGACATTTTATCTTAAAGTCCGTTGATAACAAAAAACTTTGTTGTAAAGAGTACCATAGCCAAACTGTTTATAGATGCAAAGTACGTAATGTAGCTTTAAATCATGATCATAATCAAGCTTTTCATGCTTGAATCTTTCAAATGAAATAATCTGTATTTGTAAAAGAAATACAATGTATATTTTAATATTAAATTAATTACAGTAAAGTGATTTGTAGATTTATAAAACGTTATAACAGCTAAAAAGTAATCCAGCGCTCCACTCAAAAGAAAACATCACACGAGTACAATCCTACTCACTAAACATCCGTAGTTTTATTCCGCTGACGTTGCGCGAACGCAACACTTGCTTTTTCCACAGGTAAGAGCATTTTTTTAAAATTTTCAATGTAAATTTATGTTATAAATGCTTAATTTAATATTTGTTATTATTTTCACGATAAAAGAAACATTCCTTGTAGTTTTGGCGGTTAATGGGTTAAGGAATGCTTAATTTTCCTTCAACACTATAGTGAGGAAGGTAATCATTTTTTAACCCTCTAAGCAGCAAGGCCATATATATACGGCCTAAAATATTTATTGATATCTGTAAGAACCTATATATATGTGTATATTAAAATATGTCAACGAAATTAAGGGAATATGTCAAAAGAAAACAAATCCAGGTATGAAATACCAGGAGAGTTTTTACATTAAAATCAAAAAATAATTTGTTCTCATAGTAGTTTTTGGAAATTTGTGCTTTCTTAGCAAAAATCCTGGCCGCCCAGAGGGTTAAGCCAAACTGTAGCAAGGGACGAAAACTAGGTGGTTTATGCTACACCATACTAGAAGCAACAATCCATGGAATGGCAACATTCATAAGCATT